CCTGCCAGTCGTCCAACATCCGGGAGAAATGTTTCACTCCCACCCTTGACCGCAGCCTATGCTAAACCACCTATTAGAATGGAGTTCTCCAGTTTGGTGACTCAAGGAGTTCCGCTGATTTCACTGATTTTATTGAACAATGTGAGAACTTTCTTACTCTAAGACCACTGAGTGACTTTGAGCTCTTGGGCACCCTCAAGCTGTTCTAAAAGGGCCAGCATGGAGCTGGTGGTTAGCTGCCTGCAGCAAAATATCTAACTGGTAAATATTCAACAATGCTTACCTTGAGGCATTCTTGTCCACTGATTACCAGTCTGAGATTGAGAAGCAACTCCGGTCCAATGTGCAATCACCAAATCAGTGCCTAAGGGACTTTGCATGTGATAACCGTGCGCTCTGCCTGAAGTGGATATAGCAGAACAGGAAGTTGTGCGGCGAATCCTCAGAGCATGTAACCCAAGGTTGGCCAGTGGCCTACGTGGCATTGTGTCCATTGTTAACCAGTTTGTCATGATGGGGTTAATAGATAAGGATTGGGGTAACTCCAAAGATTATTGGAACTGCATACAGCAGTCCAACTCTTCGGACCGTGCTGGCAAAAGATCCAGCAAGAAACCTGAACGTGGTCAGGGCTATGGACATGGTGCAGATGTGGCCTCTGATCTGGGCATTCCAACTTTCTTGGTGTTACCAATAAGTGTCCAAGGCTCAAAGGGAGATGCCGTCTTTGACTCAGGGTGCCCATACTCTTTGATGACTAGAACCCTGTGGAACAACCTAAAGAGGGCTGGGGAGACTACGAGCCTGAGCAAAGTACCAAAGTTGGTTATGGCCAATGGAGAAGAGAGTAAAGCTTCTGCGAAAACTAACTTGCTCCTCACCCTCCATGATGCTCACATCACAATCAGCATACATACAGTATACTTAGTGATGACCAGCTGTACATGCCCTTACTGCTTAGTCTAGACTTAATGTGTGCGAGCCAGATCATCTTAATGCCACACCTGAGGAAGCATCTTATGCCAGGGGGAAAAAGAGCATACGTTTTTACCCAAAACTCGGGATGCATTGCAGTGGGGGTTTCCAGAGTCAATGGTCAACTTCTACATGGCGGTAATAGAAAACTCTAGCATCGAGCAGCCTGGTGTTCCTCTATCCAAACTGTAGACCACTGCTGCAGAAGTGGACTACAGTTTAGACAGAGTCCACTGCTGCCACTGATATCATAAAGCACAAGATCGTGACCACAGATGAGTTGCAAGTGTGAAAGAGAGCCTAAAGAGCGTCACTGCAAAAACAAGCAGTCATCTGTAGTTGAGCATAGTGCGCAGGATAGCCACTGCTGAAGGTTTTAGAGTGTGGAAAAGACATCATCGGTTGCTCTAAGCAGGAAGCTAATCCTACTTGCTTCCATTCCCCACAGGTCCTTCCATTTGATCTTCCTTTTCTCTATGCCCTCCCATTTTACCCACTGCCCCTGTCTTGCTTCAGTGACTTTGCACATCCTGCTGCCTCCTGACACTGGACTTCCAGGACTACCAATTTGCGCCCGCTGTGAAGAAGTTGTCTTGTTCCACAGGGGTCTACTCTGACCTAAGCCCAAACCTCCTCTTAACTGTTGTAAGTGGCCCACAATGTCAGCATGCTGGTGTGCTGCTCTTGCCTGTTGAGTTGCTTCTTTTGGTTTCTATTTCTGACCCGTTGTCAGTGATGGTCCAACAGCAAGTATAGATGTGTCTTGGGACTTTGAGTGGGTCATCGCCAGCCTTGAGTTGGTGCATTTAAACTCCTCTACAAGACTTGAGCTAGGCAGCTCGGGGATGCCATGTCCATACAGGTCCATGTTGCTCAGACATCTTGGGACTCCTAACCACTTTCTCACATAGGAGTTGATGATTCTCTCTATGTTCTCAATTCTTGTGAGGGCAACATCAGACAGGGTAATAGGCCAAACTGTCGGCACCGGAGTTGCCAGGAAGCATGACCACATCATGGCATTGTCCAAGGCTTTTTATAGGTTTCTCAGACACTGTTGGAATGGAGTTTCCATTAATGTAGAGCTTATGATCTGATCTCTGATCTGATGGATTGATCCTCATTCTGGCCCATGTGATGTTTTTTTACTTTCCCAAGCAACCATCTGGTGCATGGTGCTGTTYTGGTCAGGGTTGACATGTCGTCCATAGAGGCCCTGATTGGTGTTAACTGGACCCCTGAGTTTTGCCACTCACCACATACTACCCATTTTGAAGTTCTGATAATCACCTCTACCAAGGTGAATGCTAGTGGGGACTGCAGCCAGCCATGATGCCCACTTCGAGATGCTGCCATATGGTGATCAAATCTGGTGTGGWGAAGCAGAATTACAGATTTTTGAAGAAAGGCTTTAACCAAATTCATGATGGGCACTGGTACTTTGAATAAGTCGAAAGCAGCCCAGAGGAAACTATGTGGTACTGAATCAAATGCATTAGCGAAATCAAGGAAGATGACTTGTAGATCTTTCTTCTCAATCTTGGCTGATTAGATTTTGTGCTAGATAATGCTAATGTGTTTTAAACATTCAGATTCATTATAAACATTCAATTTTATTTGCATAGCGCCAAATCAAAATATACATTATCTCAAGGCACTTTACATAGAAGGTCAGGACCTTAAAATCGTATTAAATATAGAGAAACCCAACAGTTCCCACAATGAGCAAGCACTTTAGCAACTGTGGAGAGGAAAAACTCCCTCATTAACAGGGAGAAACCTCTAGCAGAACCAGGCTCAATGGCCCACATTGTCATCTGCCTCGACCGGTTTGGGTGAGCAAAGAAAACGGGAGGAGAAGAGGAGAGATGGGTGGAAAAGAGGGGAGAGAAGAGAGATGGATAGTGGGGAGGGGGAAGTAGGGGAGAGGGGAGCAAGAAAGGCAGAGAACACTTGAGTGCCATCAGGTATCAGATCTGACAAGTTAAAATGTAAACAACAGTGTAAAGTCTATTAATTATTATTGATAACATGCACAATTCATATCATAATTAACTAACAAGATATTGTAATTYATAATAGTAATAATGGTAAAGTTGTTGTCCTGAGGTTCCTGCAATCATTTTAGAATATAGGACAAGATGGTGAATGTACCTTGTATGTTTGAAGGTCTTCTGCAGAATTTAAATTACCAACTACAAGTTGACAAAACACGGTTTTATCCAAGCTACATTAGAGGGGAAGCATCACTCAGGTGATGGTATTTTGTGGACTTCTGAAGATAAAAATCCTTGACAGTGACAGAGGAGGGCCATTGGCTGACCTATCCTAATGTTGACGAGAATACAGGGGAGTTTGAGGAGGACAAAGACGCTGCTTTGGCCGACAAGACATCCATATAAATGTCCACTGAGACATTCAAGTCCACAGATGAAACGTATGCCAAGACAGCCACATCCGCCAACGCTGTTTACAGTCCTCCATTAGCTGATGCGACTGTAGCTAGTGACACCATTCACACCACTGTTGCAAGGCTTCAAACTCATCATCCCAAAGCCATCAGTGTTGACTTTATTAATATCACACTGGACAAAACTTTACCTTCATTTCACCAGTATGTTAACTGCCCCAAAAGAGACAATAAAACACTGGACCTTCTGTATGCAAATGCTTTGGATGCATACAGTGCCACTGCTCTACCCCAACTCAGCAGATCAGACCACAACCTGGTATTGCTGATGTCAAAGTATGTCCCTCTTGTCCAGCGGCATTCTACATCCACAATGACTGTGAGGAGGTAGACTCAGGAGGCCACTGAGGCACTGCAGGACTGCTTCGAGTCCACTGACTGGGATGTGCTCTGTGAGCCACATGGGGAGGACATCAACAGCATGTCAGACTGCATAACAGAATACATCAAATTCTGTGAACAAACACCTTGCCAGCCCAGACTGTATGCTGCTTTCCAAAAAACACTACACACTACTCACTAGTAATTACTGCTGCAACAACTGTCAATTGTTTTTAGTTTTAATGCTCATATTATATTCATACTAATTTTACTACATATAGTCATATTTATTATTTTAGTCATGTCCAAACAAATACTGCAATTTTGCACCTTGTCTCTTCTTTAATTATACTTCAATTTTTGTCTCATTTTAGTCTTTTGTTTTTAGCTTTGTGTTATTACTCTGAATGTCCTTGACCTGCTGCTGTGACACAACAATTTCCCAACTGGGATCAATGAACTTAATCCGTCTATCTAACTATCTATTTGTGGTCTGCACTTGAATGTGTGGGCCATAATGCGTGATTAGTGGGAGTGGTTATGCGTTGCGTGATGGACACAGGAAGTGAAGCGTTTATCCTTTGAATTTATCCAGTGCACAAAACGCATGCAACACAGAGCCATTTCATGTGGGCTCAGGCCCGCAAATTGCTGCGCTAGTCAGATTTTAAATTTAAATCAATTAAAAACTTAATTTCAAGATTTGTTTCGAAAAATACATACAAACACAATATGGATAAAACTAGACCTGTACTTAACAATGTACCCAATATAATATGATATGACATGAGAGAGAGGGAGAGAGAGAGAGAGAGAGTAGAGGAAGTCGAAGACAGAGTAGAAGAGGAGGAAGAGAGGAAAAGTTGTGTGTTGTCTCTCTCTAATTGCTTTGTCTCTGGTAATGTACTCCTTAATGCACTCAGGACTCATCACACACACCATAATCCCATCATGCATCTGTCTCAGACTAGCACAGTCAGAGTGGGTATTTTCTTTTACCAAATGTATATGTTTGTCTTTTATCATGTGAGATGCATGTGTTTGTGTGTGTGTGTGTGTTGGTGTGTATTGGATGTTTGGGTGGCAGTGTGTGTGTCTGTGTTTTCACATGTTCTGTGTTACAGGTTACTGTCACGATGAACACTTGTCATGATTGTTAATGGGTTGAGTGCAGACACCGCGTTGAATGCTGTGCTGGCTGCCCATATTAAAAGGTCATCGTTCTCATTTGCAGTAGACAAAAACAAACCCCGGGAGGCTCCAGCGAGACCCACAAACACCAACAGCAGCTCACAAGCAGCACCCGCCAAAGTAAACAGCCAGAACCAGCTACATCCTTCAACTGAACAGGTATGCATTATTTCTTTCTTATAAAAATTATTCCTGGTGTTGCTGACTGGCTATGTAGTTTTCCTTTATAAGTTAATAGTTTCTTTCTTTTTTGCTTATTGAACAATTATCTTTCTCTAACACCAGGTCTTCTGATAATTGTCTATATTGGCATTATTTGGTGTCTTGCCAGGTACCAAACTTGGTGAATACAAATTTGCCAGTAACAGCTGTCCTCCCAATGCTTGTCACTGAAGTCAAAAGGCTTGGATTCAAAGCAAGAACTGGGTCTCGGTCCAGCCCCAAAACTGGATGCCGCATGCAGAATGCATCCAAACCTGGTGTGGCCCGGGTTGCCGCGGTGGAGGGAATGGCGATTACAGCTAAACAAAACCTAAGCAAACAGCAGGCAGAGAAGAACAACCAGGCCATCAACCAGCTGAGGAAGCTTCTGGTCCAGGGGAATAAGAGAGTGGAGGCTCTGGCTACAGTCATCCAACATCTCTTCACAGAGGTACTCCTTTTACAAACAGTGAAAATACTCATACCACCTGCTGTGGAGCAAAAGCTGTCTTATTTATTTACTGCAAGGGAACAAATTATTTGTACATTTTTACATTATGTTGGCATCAGTGTATATCTCTGTCATGATTTGCACTGACTCTCTGTAGTGACTCTTTTTCGTGATTCTCTGTAGCAACACTCTGTATTGACTCTTTATAGTGATTCTCTATAGTGACTCTCTGTAGTGACTCTTTTAGACTTGAACTGACTCTGTAGCGACTCTCTTTAGTGTAACTGTACAATCATAGTTTCAGTCTAGTTTTTGAATTTCTGGATAGACCTTGGACTGCTATTAATGAGAATGTCTTAGATGCACCTTATATTGTGTACACAACACCCCCACCTCAATCAATAATTCTAGTAATTTTTTTAGTATGAATCGTATGACTACAGTGTTTGATTCATCCCTTTCTTCTGCTGTAGCCTCACGTCAATTTAGAGACATGGTGGATGTGTTTGTACATGTAAATAGAACATGTTAATGGAGGGGTTTAACAGTTATATGCACACTATCTTTTCCAAAATAGAGCAGAGCACCCACAGGCTATTATTAAGACATCACTGAGCGCATGTTGGTGATATGGCAGAGTTGCTATTTCAAGTACTGTGTGTTAGATGCTTGTATAGGACGACTGGAGAAATGGCTGTTTAAGGGAGGAGGCAGCAGTGAGAGGCTCATGATCCAAGTCCACACTCAGGTGCCATTTTCAACACATGATGCTAATGTATCTTCAAGCAAAGAAATCTCAGGAGCAGCTAAGAATCCTGTTATTTATTTAAACATGTTGACCTAACTTATTTAATCTCATCTAAACCATACACTTTTGTATTCTGGACCCTATTCCATTTAGACTTTTTAAGGACTTTTTTCCTCAAATTGACAGTTCCATATTAAATCAGATTGATATGTTTTTGTAACCTGGCTATGTACTGCAGGCTTTTAAGGTAGCGTTAATTAAACCTCTGCTGAAAAAGCCAACTCTTGATCCAGATGTTTTAACTAATTATAGACCCATATCAAACCTTTCCTTTATTTTCAAAATCTTTGAAAAAGCTGTGTGATTACTTAGATAGTAACAGCTTGTTGAAATACTTTCAGTCAGGATTTAGAATCCATCACAGCAGAGAAACAGCACTATTAAAAGTCACTAATGACCTTTTCATGGCATCAGATGATGGACTTGTCTCTGTACTCATCCTGTTGGATCTTAGTGCAGCATTTGACACCATAGATCATAAGATTCTGTTACACAGACTGGAACAACATGTAGGGATCAAAGGAACGGCACTAGGCTGGTTTAAATCATATTTATCAGATAGGTTTCAATTTGTTTATGTCAACAATGACCCCTCCATGCACTGAAATTAGGTGAATAAGGCTCAGGCTTATAAAGAGTCAGTAAAGTGTTTTTGAAATAGAAAATGCTAGTGACATAATGTTGAATGAAGGACTATTGATTAAGCTGAAAAAGATGGGAGTTGGTGGGAGAGTTTTTAACTGGATAAAGCATTGTCTGGAAGGAAAATTATTTAGTATTTATTGGGTCAGAATTGTCAAACCAATACACAGTTGGAAATGGTACACCTCAGGTTAGTGTGATAAGCCCATTATGTTTCACCCTAATGATAAATTATGTCTTTTCTAAACTACCAGTATATATAGGCCGATCACTGTTTGCGGGTGATGGAACATTTTGGAAAAGAGGGAGAAACATCGATCATGCAATTAGGAAGGTGCAAGAAGCAATTGATGAGTTGGTGGAGTGGGGTTATTATTGGCAGTGAAGATTCTCAGTGGAAAAACAGTCTTTTTCACTAGGGAAATAATTGAAGATGACAGAATTCCCCCTCAAGGACTGGATTCCAGATGGTAAAAACATGAAACTGAGATGGGACCAAACAAGAAACTGAGATGGGTGGAAGGAGGGAGGTCCGGAGGAGGGAATCTGGGAAAGAGCACAGGGGCTCGGACAGACGGCCTGGAGGCCAGTCAGAGAACACAAGGGCTTGGGCGCGTGGCCCGGAGGCCAGTCAGAGACAGAAGTAGGGGGCTCTAGAGAAAGTGAACATATCAGCTATCACTGCTGCAGTCCAGACACAGGGGGTCCAGGGGAAGATAACGACTGTCGCTGCTGCAGTCCAGACACAGGGTTCTGGAGAAGATGGCAGCTGCCACTGCCACAGCTGTCCCGGCACAGGGGACTCAGGGGAAGATGGCAGCTGCCTCAGTTGTCCTGACACTGGAGGCTCTGGAGAAGATGGCAGCTGCAGCTGCCGCTGCCGTTGAGAAACAGGAGGCTCTGGAGAAGATGGCAGCTGCAGCTGCTGTCGAGACACTGGAGACTCAGGGGAAGATGGCAGCTGCCACAGTTGTCCAGGCATAGAGGGCTCAGGGGAAGATGAAAGCTGCCACTGTCGCAGCTGTCCGGACACAGGGGGCTCCGGAATAGATGGCAGCTGATGCTGCCGCTGCTGTCCAGACAATGGAGGCCTTGGAGCAGATGGTACCTGCTGCTGCCGTTGAGATACAGGAGGCTCAGGAGAAGATGGTAGCTGCCACTGCTGTTGAGACACAGGAGGCTCTAGAAAAGATGGCAGCTGACTGCTTTGGCTTGACCTGAGAAACTGGAGAGACGCCTGCCGGAACCCTCAACAAGGGGCAGGAACTGGAGGGACATCTGCCAGGACTCTCATCTAAGGGGCAGGAACTGGAACTGGAGGGACACCTGCCGGGACCCCCTAGAGAGGGGCAGGAACTGGCGCAACGACTGCCGGGACCCTCGATTGAGGGCAGGAACTGGAGTGGATAGAACAGGACGGGCTTCGGAGAGCTGCACAGTATGGACCAAGGAGGGGAGGAGAAGACCCAAGTAGTTAGAGATATGTAATAAGATATAACAAAATAAACCAGGCAGAGAGTGAAGAAGAGAGAGGAAGATAGAAGGTGCTGGTGCCTGCTGGGTGATCCCCCAGCAGTGTAGGCCTATAGCAGCATAGCTATGGATGACTATGGTTCAGGGTTGAGCTAAAAGCTTTATCAAAAAGGAAGGTTTTAAGTCTAGCCTTAAATCTAGAGACTGTGTCTGCCTCCCTCACTGAGAGTGGAAGCTGGTTCCACAGGAGAGGAGCTTGGTAACTGAAAGTTCGACCACCCATTCTACTCTTAGTAACTCTAGGCACTACAAGGAGTCCCGAGTTTAGGGAGCAAAGTGGTCTGTGGGGGCAGTAAGGGGTTAAGAGCTCTTTAATATATGATGGGGCCTGATTGTTGTATCAGTTGGAGGATTTTGAACTCTATCCTCTGTTTAACAGGGAGCCAGTGACGTGAAGCTAAGACAGGAGTAATGTGATCCCGTCTTCTGGTTCCTGTCAGTACTCGTGCAGCAGCATTCTGCACCAGCTGAAGGGTTTTTAAGGATCTGCTGGAACTCCCTGATAATAGGGAGTTGCAGTAGTCTAGCCTAAACGTAATAAAGGCATGAATCAGTTTTTCAGAATCCTGTTTTGACAGGATGTGTCTGATTCTCTTTATATTATGCAGATGAAAGAAAGCTATTCTGGAGGTTTGACTAATGTGTTGGGTAAGTGACAGATCTTCATCAATGATAACTCCTAGGTTCTTCACAGTAGAGTTTGGAACCAGGCGGATATCATCTAGGTTACCCGACTGGTTAGACAGAGTGTCTCTGAGATGCCTAGGACCCAGGATTATGACCTCAGTTTTGTCTGTGTTTAAGGTGAGAGTAAAAGAAGAAAAGCATGAGTTAAATCTAGATAATGCAGTTGCACCAGTTTCATGTGTAAATGTAGGAAGAAGGAGATGGGAGTAAGGGGACAAAGAGACAAGAGGAAGGAGGTGCAGAAATAACTTGCATTCCTCCATCATACAGTGTGTAGACAGGAGGAGGAGAAACTGGTGGGGGGAGGAGTGGAAGGGGCAGAGTGAGCAGTGTAATAAAGAGAGAGAATGACAGAGAGAGGAGGACAGAATCAGTGCGTGTGTCTGTGTGTGTGAGAGAGAGAGTTTGTGTTTGTGTTTTTAAGTGTTTGTCGAGTCATGGGCTCCACGGCCAGCAAATCCCTTGCAAAGCGCAGGAAGCCCCCCCTCCATCGACGCAAGGTGTGTGAGCGTTGTGTGTGCTGGTCTATCTTTGCTCTTTTGTCTTCACATGGCATCTTCTCGGTCGGGTCAGGGATTCGGAAGGAATTGAATGAGTGGGTCACAGGAATTCAGGGGTTGTCTTGTATTTTCCACTTTGACACAATCACTGTGTTGACTGCTGCTGTTCAGTCCAAACAATCGGGCCCTGCCTCATCAGGATCACAAATGTTTTGGATAAGTTATGAAACATCGTACCGAGGTAACAACGTGGACCGAACTCTCCTTGTCTCATATTGTTATGACACCTTTTGTCACTGTTGTGCTCTCTCAGCAGCTTATTTTCTTTAAATGCTGTCTCTGGTCCTTATCTGCTCTTTCACTTAAGTGACCTTACACTGTGTGTATGTGTGTGTGTGTGTGTGTGTGTGTGTAAAAGCTAGAAGGCAGGAGCTTAAACGCTCCGATTTACATAAAGCACTTCTCCTTATGCTCAGTTGCTGTGGTTTGTGTGTGCGTGTTTACCAGAAAGAGAAAATATTGCATAAATTCATGGGTCTATAGGATCATATTGTTCTCTTTTAGAGCTGATGGGTGCACTTTGATATGCTCATCTCGACTGTGTGTGGCTGTCCACTTGTTTGCACATGTGTGTTATATTTTTGTTTCTGTTCATCCTTGATTAGAGTTGTACTTTTTTATTTTTAGCAGTTCAGTCAGTGATGTAAGATGGACACTGTTTTGTTAATTGTTCCACCTATGTTCATCTATGTTCAAGTAACCATAGACTTCACACTCAACTACAGAGGAGTTGTAATCTATGATTACAATCAGTCACCTTTGATCATTGCAAAGTCTACACTTGCTTCAAGGCTTAAGTTAGAAATCTAAAACCTTATACAGTGCACTGACACTACAGTGGCTGACAGCTGATTAACATTGTTAGGGAGGGGGAAATATGTATGAATGAAATCTAACTGCGGCTTCAGCGCCTCTGCTTGTATATTAACTAAGTCTGTTTAAATGTAGTATCTTGTTTTCTGCAGTGTGAAGAGGCTTTGAAGCAGAAGAAGGAGCTATCACTGGAGCTGGCAAAGCTCCAAGATGAGCTGGGTAAGAGACACACATTACTGCACGCATGTAACTGCACATATTCCCCTGCTGCCAGCTGCCTGCTCCTACCCCTGCACATTTTCTCTCCCTTGTTCGTTGCATACAACACTTGTACACAAAGCCTATGAAGGGCAGGTCAACAGCCATTCAAAATAAAGTCCTATATGTGGTTTTATACTGCTGCAGCTGCTCCTCATAGCTGGGAAATGCCCAGAGCAGGAGAAGCCTCTGCACATGTTATGATTTGGCACTATACATATAAAATTGAATTGAATTGAATGGTGTGAGCTGAGTAAATGGGTTTTTAATGACTTTTTTAATGTGTACACAAGGATGAAGAGATTGTACATTAACATCAACCTGGTCAATTTTGACACATTAGTGTCAATGCGAGGTAAAACAACCAGAAAAACTAACTCTTCACCTGATCTCTGCCACCTGCTTTAGCTTTGGAGTAATCCAGAGTACAAACTGAAATAGCTCTATGCCACCAAACAGTATAATAGGCTTAGTTTGCTAGGTTGAAATACTTCTAATAATTTAACAATTTATTCAAAAATGGTTAAATGCATCAGATGAGCTGAGTAAGTTTATTTGTACAGCAAATTCAATATAAAACACAAGAGGCGTCATGTCAAATTCTAAAAACAACATGATACATTACAAAAAGGAAACACCATTTAATAACAAAAGAGTAAAAGTAACAGCAAGATAATGAGTAAAATTAAGATCAGCAACATTGAAATAATGCAGAATGTGATGTGGCGCCTGAGATTAAAGCTCTCCATGTGTGGTTCTGTGATCTGACAGCTGAAAGTGAGTATCAGCGTACACACACACAGAGCAGTCATGCTAATACCATTTTGGCACACATAGTCACACACTGGACGGACAAACAAGTTTGGCAACACACTCACACACAGAGCGGCCTCTTCACTTTCTCCAAATCGAACTGAATGGGAACAACCTGTTCCTGCTGTGGTCATAGTTGTTGTAGTTGTAACTAGTTGTCCTATAGTGTAAGTGTTATAGTGTAGAGGATCCGGGTAAAAGCAGTTTCCCTGCTCCCTCCCCCATGACATACTGTTAGTGCTAAAGAAACACTGTCTGAGAAGCTTTGCTTTACAAAGATTCAGGGAGAATAGGTAAATGTTGAATCACTGATTGCATATGTGGCAATTCCTACATGAAACCTAAACCTGTTTATTTGTTATTTACTGGCACATTTATTAATTTCTGTCAGTATGAGGAGAACAAATCATAAGACTAAAAGTAGATTAATCAAAACTAAATCTTTAGTTTCTAAAAACAGAAATACAGTTAAGTCAGGTGATCACTTGCAGTCGTGTTTTTTTTTGTACTCATTCATTTTATACTCATGATCCTCTCCTGAAGTTATGTCACTGTTTGACACTGCCACTCACACCTGGTGTCTCTCTCTCTGACACCCACACAAAAAATACACATACACACAACACGTGATAAAGAGCAAGCTTTTGTCTAAGCTGCTCTCAGCTGTCATTTGCCTTGTGTCTCCATCACCACAGTGACAGACACAAAAACGTATTCTATAAAGCTCCATTCAGAGGTAAACAGCACTGTCTCAGCTACAGCCAGTTGTTACCACATGTTATATGTTAGGATAGGCTGATGCAGTGTGTGTGTTGCTCCATGCTAACATGTCACTGAGTGGCAGACTACTGTCTCAAAATGTGTGAGTGCCAAGAACAAAGAAATCACATAATCAAAAACAGAGAGATTCAGAGCTCTTTATCAGTCCAGCTGCTCCTTCCTTTATCTTGATATTCTCCTAAATATTTCAGACTAGGAACAAACTGGAACAAAGGGAAGCATGCATGTGCTTGTGAGTGTTTAAATTAGTCATGAGAGTAATGAGTCCTGCTGCATACTTCTGAGCTGACTTGCAGATGTTTCAGGGGGTTGGATCCTATGTCTGTCGTAGGGGTAATTAAATTGGAATGTGGTTGTATTGGAATGCTGAGGAAGACACACACACACACACACACACACACACACACATGGGCATGTCCCATCTCAGTCCTGTCTAGAATGACACAATGTAATATGATGACTGTACTGGTGTGTATTGTGGATATGAATCTGATTTATGGTAAAACAGTAAAGGGTAGCAAAGTGACTGTACATCTGGTCTCCACACGCTTAACATTCACTCACAGAGATTTCTACCTGAGCTCATATTCTGTGGAATAAACAGGTGATCAGTTCAGTCTTATACAGGTGATCAGTTCCCATCAACTGAACTCTGAGCCATTAGGATTATTTATATTAGATCATTTGTGACTTTTGCTTTTGATGTGATCAAATGAAGGTTCACCACAATATTCTCAGTCAACGCTTATTTCTAAAGTACATCCTCTATGCTTTTTCAAAGTTACAAACTAACATTCACCCCTGCTCTCGTTGTCTCCTTCTAGTCACATCATCACAGTGCTGTGAACGTCTGCAGAATGAGAGGGAGGAGTTGCGCCTCCGCTTGGGAGAGGCTTTGAAAAGTCTAGCGGAGCAGCACAAGGAGGAGCTGGTGCAGCTGGAAGACAGGTATGCATTCACCTCTGCTGGGATGCAATTTTAAAAATAAGCTAAAACTCTGCAGTGTTACCACACTGTTATTACTGAAAGTTAAAGCCTGCAGACATTACTGTTTTCAAGATGTTTCTATTTGTGTGTTTCTGTGCATGGGACAGACTGAGGAGTTTTTACCAAACAGAGTGGGACAAAGTCCACCAGACGTACCAGGAGGAAGCTGACAAGTGCCGAATGTTGATGAAGCACCAGGTGAGAACACACGCGCAATATTAGTATTGCTGTCATGTTATACATACACAGAGAAGCAGAGCAAAGGTGTGATCTAATTAGCATATGAATCACAGTAAAACCCCTGGCTAGAACTTGAGACGAAACCACAAACCTGAAACAAAAAGTCACTTGTGAATGACTGGTAGATCTGTTACTATAGGTCACCCTGGGTCATTATAAGACAGACTTGAGTCCCACACAATAATAATCACAATAATAATAATTGTCATAATAATTATTATTACTAATCATTAATTAATATGAATTATTAGTAAGCCTATACCAAAAACACTGAAGTTACTGAAGACTATGCATATATTCATGTGATGATTAATAGATTAATAGAACAACAAAAAAGTGCTAGCTATAGAAGCACTGTATGTATGAATGTGTGTGTGAATGGGTGAATAGAAAACTGTAGTGTAAAGCGCTTTGAGTGGTCATCAAGACTAGAAAAGCGCTATATAAATACAACCATTTACCATTTAATGTTATATGTTATATATATTCATGTCATTGTTATCATATCGTTGACACTATATCAGTGACGTTAATATCAAATTTGGTGAAAAGAGAAAAAACATTTACGAGGTATAAGTTGAATCAAAGCTTTATTTACACACAGTGTGTACATATTGCACCAACACAACTGGCCCAGCCAGTGAAAAGATCATATAGGCCTACAGCCAGACCTGGGGTATCATGGGAGGCTTGAAATGCCTCTTTGCAGCCTCTGGGTCATAGATTCTAGGCGGCATTCTGTCTGAATTTGTCCCAGTGTGCAGACGCCTGTGTGCAAAGCTGTGTACTTCTGACTAGCCAGTAGAAGTTTGGAGCTTGCAGGGCACAGACACATCATACCCAGCATCATTTTTTTCCTGTTGAGTGGATTGCTGGTAGATGTATGGTAAAAAAAATCCACTGTGCATTTAACCATAACTAGTAAAAAGATAACTGTAGTCATGCCACTCTGCATGGTGTTTGAGATTAAGGATAGTGTTCATAGGCAATGTAGTGGCCCTGTTGCCAATCAAAAGAAGCCACCATGGTTTCTGATTAATTCTTTAGACATGTGAAAAAATGACTAAGTGTCCACTTTCCAAAACAAAGTTGATTTATTGCTTAAAATCGTCAGGGTTTCCACAATAAAAAGAGCAGAACCACTTTTCTCTATTTCCCACAAAACAAATCAAACCATCCTTTCACAGCCATTACCACACGGTCAAAAACTGTTTCTTACCAGTTAAAAGGCTTCTTCAGGCTCCTGATTATATTAACCTCTTGCCTCATTGACAGCGGCACTACTCCCCCAAGAGGTGGGAGGTTTAACAAAACAATAACAAAATGGCGCTTACAGGCAAGATTGAAGAGGTGGGTTTCAGTCCAGTCCAGGGGAACAGACTAACCCTCAGTGGAGAGTATTACAAAAAGATGTTGAAATAAATGGCACTGTTTCTATATTTATTTTCGTAGCATTGACAATGGGTCATGGTATACAATGTAATTCCTTATAGTACCCTAACTTACATAAGGGAAATCTATTCATGCTACGATTTAAGATTCTAAAGGGAGAGGCAGTAGCTCAGTCCATAGAGACTTGGATTGGGAACTAGAGGGTGGCCAGTTCAAGTCCAGCATGGTCGGAGAGGTGCCAGTTCACCTCCTGGGCACTGCCGACGTGCCCTTGAGCAAGGCACCCCATGTTTGCATGCTGTGTGTGGGACAATAAAGAGGAATCTTAATCTTAATAATTATGCTAAGCCTAATGTATTTATACCAGAGATTTTCTTAAAATGGAGATGGTACCTTTTAGAAAAAGGGTTAACCTCTGCACCACTGGTGAGTACTATCCTGATTTGCATTTGTAAAGCTCATAGCATTGTCATTTAGCCTCTCCAAGGAATGGGGGGTCAACTGCCAACCTTCTCAGACTTGTAAAACTGCCAGAAATTGGAACCCCAAGTCAATTCTGTGCTGCCTGCAGATTCCTGTGAACAATCGTTGAACCTGAACTTCCACAGCAATTTACAGTGCCATTTACAGACGAAAATCCCAATTTTCATGAAGTGACACACATCCATACAGTGCATCTATGTGCAGCACTCTCTCTATGAGTAGGGGCAATTTAGGGTTCAGTATCTTGTCCAAGGTCACTTCGGCATGTAGACTAGGGAAGACTGAGATTGAACCGCCGACCTTCTGTTTAAACTGTGGGATTTGAACATACTGCAGCATGACTGTGAGGCTCAAGTAATGTCATAGGTACATTTGGGCAGCACAACATGATCAGAGATGGGATTTTCCACACTTTTCATTCATGGGGGGTTTAACCTTGTACAAGTACAAGGGAGTACAAGGGTTTAACCTTGTTTACTTTGATACATTTACCTGCATTTTGCTATATCTGTGTGTGTTGTAGTAGCATCTCCTTTGTTTCTGCTGTCTTCAGGTGGATGAGCTGAGGAGCCAGCAGGAAATAGAAAGGAAGAACCTGGAGATGAGTCAAAGCCAGAGGATGGAGTCTGTCAAACAGCAGTATGACACCTCAATACAAGGTGAGTGTAATGGCGGGGCAACATTACAAGATGTCTGGTTAATTATGGATATTATAACTAGATAACGTTGTTTAAGTGTTAAACATATGAGCAAATTAAGTTCTTCTGGTATTTTAAGAAATGCATCTATTGATTGTTTTGATTGATTCCGATGTTTCCCAGCGGGGTTGTTTGGCTGTCCTACCTTGCTGTTCACCTGTGAATATAAGTTTTTTTTTTTTTTTTTTTAATCTATAAAGCACAAACATCCTAAAAGCTGATCTGCTCATCTGTTTTTAATTCCTGTAAAAAAACAAAAAAACATCTACATTTGCACTTCCCCTCTCTGCCTGCGGATTCCTTTCACTCATCCTTTACTTCTGAGCATATTTAGTTGCTGCAGCCTGGAGAAAGGAGAGCAAATTGAGCCTTAAATCCAAACATGTGACATCAGAAGACAAAATGGCAGCACAGACTGGCCCTGGACCACCCACAAGCTCTGTGGCTTCCCTCTAACTGAATGTGTACTGAATTAGACGCTGCCTCAAACCGTTACCCCAGAGCTTTTATTAACCACACCAGAATCAAATACATCTGCGGCCTGTTTTTGACTTCTCCTTTTTGACTCTATCAAGCGTGTGTTTCCAGGGTTGAGGAAGTTGTGTGTTCAAACGTAAGGTTTGTAGAGATGTCTTGAAAATGGAGGGTGGATTTCACATTCAGAGTGTGAGTTTGAGTTTGCATGTGAGACATGAGGTTTGCATTTAGACTTGAGTTGTGTGACAAACACAGTATTACCACATGGAAACAGTTCTGCATTTGCACAACTTTCTGCAAGTGTGCATGTGTTAGACTGAATTCAAGCTGGGACCGTGTGTTTGTGTTTGTGTGTTAATGAGAAAAGAAGCATGCTAACAAATAAACAATAATTTTGAAGTCAGTAGCCTCTTTTAATCAGAGAACCTGCTACATGACTGTTAAAAGACCTTTTATTTAGGCGGCTCTGCTTATTTACACCATAACCTGGCCCCAGTTTGCTATTTTAAATCACAGGCTGGTCTTCTGGAGTCGTTGTTTTGTGACGAGCCCCCCAATCTATGTTTGCACCTCTTATATCCAATAGTGAGGCGGAATAATGTGCAACCTTCATGCATGGCTGTGTAAAGGTCTCAAGCATCCATGTACACACACACACACACACACACACACACACACNCAATCAGCGTGACTGTTCAGTGTTGTAAACGGTATGATGGTATGATGACAGCCACCCTATTATAAGGCAAGTGTTGGAAAATTGTATGGTGCATGGTGCGACCTAATAGTATAATATTTTCATGATGAAACGTCTCCCAGACCTAGTGCTGCTCAAACGACAAAATGACAAATGACAGCTTAGCTTTTTAACTTTGTCATGAGTGTTGTGACTATTATGCCTTTAGGCTCCATTAAATGGTGTGCTTTTGGGTGTTCAATAAATTTAGCTATCAAAAAAATATGTCTTCAAAGGAAGGGAAAAGACAAATTTGGAACTCTGATTAATAATTAAATTAATAACTATAACAAAATTTACCAAGTCAGTAGTTAGCAAAGTTGAAGAATATGGAGTTCTTGACAGTGTAGAGGTTGGCAAAATTCATACTTATGCAACATTTTTGAAGACAACATTTGTGTTAAAGCTCAGTTGCTTCGTTTTTGCTCCACTCCAAACTTGAATTAAATCCTGTAAAAGTTCTTTAATTTTAATCTTTAAGTGCCAGAAAGGGCAATTTTATTTTATTGGCCACATTAACTCAAGAATGCTGGCTAAGAAAAGTCACCTAAAAAAGCCAACTGAAAATTTTGAGTTGGAGAAAGGTGTCTTGCTAGCTACAAGTGCTCATGGTGGAGATGGAGCGGAGGCAATGGAGCGGAGGCAATGAAAGTTGGCGGCGACGTTAGCTCAGAGGATATTCTCAAGGCCAAATTCAAAAATGTATTGCTTGTGGTGAACAGTGTAAAGGAGGAAATCAAATAATGCTGTGGTGTGAACTTTTGTAAATGGATTAAGATACTATATACAAATCCTACTGCAGAGAATAATATGGTATTTAAACCTTTTGACATCCCCAGAGGCTCTTGGCAGGGCTTCCCTCTCTCTACCCTCCTGTTTGTCCTTGCTGTGGAACCTCTAGCTATAGCACACACCAAATTTCAGGTATAAAAATAGATCAACTGGACTATCGAATAGCTTTATATGTGGCTGATGTAATATTGTTTCTTTCAAAGTTGCATAGCTCTATACCAGCACTTCTAGATTTGATTAGAGAGTTTGGAGTGTTTTCGGATTACAAAATAAATAATGCAAAATCCCAGATTATGATACTAAAGGAGGAGGAAAGACGTAATCCTACACCTCTGATCTCCTCTTTTAATACAACTGAATGTTTTACATATCTTGGCATTCATATTGTGCCAGAAATTGACAAAAGTATGAACCCAATGTAGACTAAATAAAATCATTATATAGATGGTCATTCTTACCTATATCTTTAATTGGACGGATTACGATCCTAAAAATGAATATTCTCCCAAAACTTGGGTGTCACTGTTGTTCTTACCACATGACAGGGGGTCTCGATGTGCCGAATATCCAGTGGTACTACTGGGCAGCTCAGCCAACTCAGCAACATACTATTTCACCTCAGACTCCATCCCTGCATGTATAGAGATTAAGATGGCTTTAGTAATTTCCAAATTACCCCTGAATCTGTAAATCTATTCAGTTGATATCAAGAAACAAAGAAAACAAACAATGAACCCCTTTGTTTTAAATGAAATTAATGTTTGGTATGAGGTGCAGAATTTGCTATTTGCCACACATTTTTCCAGTTTAGCTCCTGGAAAGGCAGATCCGGGTAGCCAACTTTGGGCCAGCAAAGGTTTAAGGAAAATTCTAGAGTAGTATAAAGACTGGAATTTGATGTCATATTTTCCTAGAATACATTTTTTTAAATACTTACAAATAAGGAGCTTCATAATTGGGGAGATGAGAGTGTGAGGTGTTGGTGCCAGGTTAGAGAAAGTAGTTAGATGATTCTACGAACAGCATAACAGAACTTACCTTAGCTTTCAAATAACTTTTTACCAAAGTATCACAACACAAATCAAAATAACACACAAAATAAAATATAACAGTCCTTTGCTTAGCCTAGTGTAATTATTAAACCCAGTTCTGTTATCAGTTCATGAAAAGGGAGAAAGGTCCTTTCTGATGTGCTGTTTGAAGTCCAGTGAAATGGTCTTGTTGGTTTGTGGCTCCTGTTGTTGTGCATCTGCTGGTCAGACCTTGTGTCCTGGCCAATTGCTGCTGCTGAAGTTCTTATACAGGCTCTTGCGTCGCTGCCTTTTGGAAGGTTTTCATCTGCTCCAGGCAGGCTTGTTTGGAGGTCAAAGGAGCTTGGGTAGAGAGAGGTCTCCCAGGGAGCTATACCTCTCCTCCCAGAGAGGTCGGTAGGAAAATAAATAAGAGAGGAGGAACTGGACTTTTATTGTCCTCATGACCTCATGGGTCATGGGGCACACAGTGACCAATAGTGGTTGAAAGATGTGTCCAGGGGCAGGTTTAACACCTATGTGTGAAAATGAAATACCCTGGGATACTGAGGTCTGGAAGCTCTCCTTTGTCTTCAGAACAAAGAAGTGTGGTCAGACTTTTAGCGACACATGTAGGCCCAACTATGGTTCACAAATAGTAGGTCCCAACATGACACACAACTGTACATACTAAACTGACTGTAGTGATAAATGTACCGCTTGTGCATTAATTGTTTTCATAGATTAAATTAATATTTTCAGGATTAGTTGTTAATTGATGTCACTTTGTTTGCTTAATTGATGCTGATGTGTGTGTTTCAGAGCTGAAGATGATCCAGCAGACAGACTTGGAGAACCTGAAGAAAACCCTGACACAGACTGAAACTTCTCTCTCTGTATATGTTTAATTCCTATGTTAATATATCCCCCCAAAAAGTTGTCACATTGGATTATTTTAGGTTACATTACTGGAAATAGAAATATGCTGTACTTGATAAGTGTGTGTAAAATGTGGACCTAATGTTGAAACAATGTGCATGCACACACTGAATGTATGTAGCTGATGTGATTCACAGTGTAGGCTGTTTAGAGGTTGAGTGCTTTGCACACAGCTACAGCAGCAATCAGACCACAGATGTTTCCAGACGGGTCAGAAAAACATGCAAAAAATGAGAATTAATTATAGAAATATTTGAATGTTGTAAGAAGATGTGCACTGCCATGCAAGACCTCCTGCAATTTAAACTGTAATGGGAGCAAACCATTCACACAGAAACAAATCTGTGACAAAAACAAAACAGATTCGGGCCGGAAAATGGCTTATGGAAGATGATTGATATATTAACCTTAACTCAACGTTCACTGGTGAATGATGCATGTCTGTGTCATTCTCTTACAAGGAGAAAATATCTGAGCTGTCGGCAGAGAAGGAGGCTCTGAATGAGAAGCTTCAGGCAGAGGAGGAGAGGAGGAGGCAAATACTCACAGACAAGAATCTGGTAAGACCACCATATGGCTGGAGGGGAAGTTAGTAAAGGGACTGTGAGCCCTATGGAGTCACACAAATAGGATTCTACCCAGTTACAGTTCTATGGAGCTAAATCTATGCCATAACTTCACAAACAAACAAAACATTATTTACAAATTCTCCACCATTCACTTGCAAACACAGTGTGGTTTGCAATTACAAAGCACCATTAAGAAACTAATGCATTTTGCCTGCAAAGACAAAACACATGACAAACAAATACACTTCTTGTTTCTAATAAATGATGCATCAGAAACAAATGGCCCTGTGGGCAGCTGTGGCTGAGGAGTAGAGCAGTTATTGTCCAACCAGAAGGTCGGCAGTCGGTTCCCAGTCTTCCCCATCTGCCTTCCCGAAGTGTTCGTGAGCAAGATACTGAACTCCAAATTACCCCTCAGAAAAAAAGTGCTGCTAATAGATGCACTTTATGTGTTTGAATGGGTGAATGGCAAACCACTGTAAAGCGCTTTGAGTGGTTATCAAGATTAAAAAAGCGCTATAAACACATATATAAATACAAACCATTTACCATTTCACATTTCATACAAGTGCCAAAACATAATCTCACATTTACAAAATAATTTGTCCTACATGTACAAAAATTAATCTTACATGAACAAACATTTATTTGCTGCAAGTATAAAAGAATATATCCCATGACAAAAATATTGTTTTACAAGTACGAAAAAGATATTCTACAAGCAAGACATAGTGGTCATACTGAGGATTTTCTCAAAAATGTCCTTCATCCATGCCACAACTGCAGGTGGTGCTGTGAGCCAATTTGCAGGCAGCAGGTCAAGTCAAGAATCAAGAGAATGAAAACTCTAAATGAGTGGTTTGCAGGAGCAAGGATTGCGGTCAGACCAGCTATCTCTATATTTGGAGTGCGCCCTTACTCAGACATTTACAGTTCATTCTGTTATTATTATAACAATCAAAGCAAAATCAGCATATCCAAATTTACTCTGTCAGAGTTGATTTGAACTCTTCTGAAGTGTCTTTATGGGTCCAGTGTTGATTAACTCTTTTTGGAGAGTTAGTAATGTAACACTAATTAAGTGTAATCATTGACTCATTTTGGAGTTAAAATTTTACATTTCTTTACTCTAACCAGAGTTAGTTTTCCTCAACACTTGTGTAGTGTTAACTCCCTCATGGAATAATTTTTTAACTATACAAGTGTTAAACCCATATTAACTCTCATAGGTGTAAAGATAGTTCTTCTTGGAAAAATAGTTTGCTGAAATCAAGAGGCCATGTTCAGTTAAAACACATTCAAATCCCAGTAAGCATTTACTGATCTCCTTCATGGCTGTCTCTGGAAGGCCCTTTTCTCTGATCTCAGGAAAACACTTCAGATCCATGCAGGAGACATCTGTGCACAGCACTGCATTTGCTGCATACAGCTGTGAATACTTTCAACAGTGTCCAGGATCATTGTGGATGTCGATTTTGTTATCCATGTCTGCATTAGCAATGGGCTCATCTTCTGCCAACTCACTTGGCTGTCTCTTGTTTTGTGTCATTCTCTTCTCTGGGAGAGCAGTTTGAGCCTCAGCATCAATGTCCTGCCGCTCCTCCAGGATGCTATTGGCCAACTCAACAGTCATCCAAAGTGATGACCAGATCAGTGTAAAGTGCACGGTCAGGCTTTGCAAAGCTTCTAAATACATTCCTCAAGGTCTGGTCTTTGGCCCACCAATGGGTTTCCCCATTTTACTGTATTTTGCTGCTTCTGCAGCCAAGGCTTTTCTTTTTCTCATCCTCTCTCTCTCTGCTCCACCTTTCCTCTCCTGCTGCTGACTGCTGTCCATTTTGACTACTGTCACTTTCAGAATGCGCAGGGCTTTCCACTACATGTTGCAGTGGAGGTTCATGAGGCACTGCTGCGCTCTGAGCACTGTGATTGGGCCTGAGTTCGGCGTTCATCACAGCGCGCTTAGCTCTGTAGTTGCACAGTGGAAGTCGGCAGGCCAGAATGAGTGTCAGGCCACCGGTGCTCCCGATGGCCAGTCCACGCCTGGCTGCAACCATTTATTTTTGGGACATACATTCAACAGACATTAAAACTCAGGTGAAAGATAATTTTCGCTGTTTATTCTGCACTTAAACAGAATTTTTATCTGTCTATGTCACAAACGTATTTGCGTATTTTCTGTTGATTCACTTTCTGATGCTCTCAGTTACATGTGGCATCAAAAAGAAAGTAGAAACCTCAGAGAGAGCCACATGTGAGGGATCCCTCTCCCAGGACGGACAGCAGTGCAATAGATGCCACAAATAACTGAGAGCATCAGAAAAATACGAGTGTTTAAAGCAATGATTAGAGTAAACAGTTTGTAGCATGATGGAAGGTAAATGAATTAAGGAGTTAGTAATGGTAGATTATATGAATAGACATATTGTATATCAAGCAGTCTTGTTGTAATCATAGTCCTTGATCAGCAGTCACCACGATTAGGATACACCTTCATAATCCACCGTCATGATCCACTGCCACCATCAGGGTCCACCATCCACCACCTTAATTCTGGGAGTGCAGTGCTCTAGTGCTATATTATTATTATTATACACATGCTGCAGCATTTTGGAAAAGCTGCAGGGTCTTTAAGGACTTACTGCTGGAGCCTGATAATAAGGAATTACAATAATCAAGTCTGGATGTGACAAAGGACTAGTTTTTCTGCATCTTTTTGAGATAGGACATGTCTGATTTTTGAGATATTACGTAAGTGAAAGAAGGCGGTCCTAGAAATTTGTTTTAAGTTATAATCAAAGGACAAATCAGGATCAAAGATGATTCCCAAATTCCTGACTGTTTCATTGGAAGCAAGGGCAATGTCAGCTAGCGCAGCTATATCATTAGATAATGTATCTCTAAGGTGTTTAGAGCCAAGTATTAAAACCTCTGTTTTATCTGAGTTTAATAAGAGAAAATTGCGAGTCATCCAGGTTTTTATGTCCTTGAAACATGTTTGAAGTTTAGTTAATTGATTTCACTATGCTCAACACCAGCTCTCTCTGCTGGTTAGGATGAGTCCCACAATTATTTAGGCATCAAGTCACATCCTCTGGCCCACCAGTGTTCATTTGTTCACAAGACATTTCAACTACTTCTTTGTAGAGCATCACAGATTCACATAACCTGCTCTAACTGTGTGTGTGTTTGCTGTTTTGTACGTGAAGGACTCCCACACAGTGTACCTGGAGCAAGAACTTGAGAGTCTGAAGGTGGTACTGGAGATCAAGAACAACCAGCTGCACCAGAAGGAGAAGAAGCTCATGGAGATGGACAAACTGGTAAGGATCAATCTTTCTTATATAATAAGAAGCCCACAATAATGTCAAAAAGATTATCTTTTATCTTGTTCTGTATACGGTACCATGTGCATACATTTGTACTCTTCACCTGTTTATTTTACGACCTAGTTTTAAAGTTCTTGTATCCAAATACCGGACTGCTATGATGACCTAATTTCCCTTTGGGGATGAATAAAGTAATCTATC